CCCATCGCAAGGACCCAGACGCGAAAGTGGAGACGTTACTCACGGAGTATTTGGTGACGTGCAGGGGAATTCTTGAGAAAAGAAAAACAGAATCATTTACCACAACGTTTGCATTCTGCTGTTCCCATGCTGCCGCCCTCTTCGATCCGCCTCTATCAAGACCACAAACTCAAATGAACTCAAGTCCACGACCGACAACAGGATCAGTGGCCGCCCCCAAAGCGCCTGTTTCGAGACTCGCGCGACAACTGGCATGGTCATGAAGACACACCTGCGCATGTAGTCGTCCAGGAACGCGACTCCACTGTACTCAAGAGCGGCGCGAACACCATCCGGCAAGCCACTTGCAGCCATAGCGTCTTGAAAGCCCTGAAAGCCTCCATTCCATATCCAAATGATCCATGTCCCAGCAACGGAAGAGATTGTCAGGGCAAAAAGCACGATGATGACGACCGCTGAAGATCGAGGCGGTAGCATTTTGGAAATCCAATCCACAAAAGAGTGACTCAATGCGAATTCTTCGGGGCTGGCATTTGAGATGTAGCTGATTGAAGCTTTGATTCTACGAAGTTTGCCCCAGAGTGGAGTCGTTGGTGCCTGTCAGTTGCCTGACGTGTACTTTTTTTTTTCTTTTCTTTTCCTTGTCTCCTGATCGAAGCCCGACGAGCTGGGATGCAAACGTTGGTTACGAATGCCGAATAAGATGCTTGGGTCCGATGAGATGACCAGCTTCTCCGCACTCGGCAACTCATAACGTAGAGATCTAGAACAGGATATGACAGGGAAGCAAATGCCGCCCATTATTAGCCACAACTCAAGGGAGCTCAGGATCCTTGGCTGGAACAAAGCACAGATGCAATGGCGCTAGTCCCATGGTGAAGTGATCCAAAGATTCGTGCAAGAGTTTGCTTCCATCTTCACCAGGGGCGAATTCCACGTCGAATTGGGACAAAATACTCGCCGTCACATGTCGGAGCTCCATGTACGCAAGATTCTTGCCAATACAACCAAATCGACCTCCCGAAAATGTGCCCAAAGCTTTCGGGTTCCGGATGAGTTCTGGGCGACTGTACCAACGTTCAGGTATGAACTCGTCTGGCTGCGCATATGCGGCCTCATCTATGAATCATCAGCGGGGTGGGGGAATTTTACGATCAGGATAGGTAGCCTTACGTCGATGGATGACATAGATCGGCATGCCAATGGTGACATTGCCGGGAATGTAGCGGTCCCCAACACGCATACCACTCGGCGGTGTCAATCGATATACACCGCTTGGACCAGCAGGATGTAATCTCAGCGCCTCATTAATGACCCCATTGAGATGCTCGCAATTTTTGATATCAGTATCGTTCCACGTCTCAGACTTGATTTTGTGGCGCAGCTCGCTTCTGAGAATCCCGATATGCTCCGGATGCTTGGCCAACAGGTAAAAGATGAACGTGAGAGTGATTGCCACGGTCTCACTGCCTCCAACGATCAGCAGACGAATGTCTGATCGGAAGTTTCCATTCGAGGCTGGATCTGGCAAGTGCTGATACATTTTGTACAGCCACGACGACATGATGCTTCCTGGCTCTGCGGAAGCGCCATCGAAGTTGGACCGCACTGCATCTTCCAAATGGGAGTCTGTGAATGCATGGAACTTCTTCATACCCGAAGGATCCCCTGGAATGAGTTTCAAAAGCCTGATGAACCTGCACTCGGTCAGCTTTGGATGACTAGTATCAGCAGTTCCAGCCGAAACGATACCACATGGGAGGCAAGAGTCCCAACAACTTCATCCCATCGCTCATGATCTTGATCAACTGGGGCAGATTCTCGACCTGGAGCATCTGCTCGTCTTTGCCGAAAGAGAGCCCAGCCATGACTGCGAAGGAGTACACGCTAAAAGATTTCGTCACGTCCACCGGTTTGCCGTCCAGCTCGGCGATTTGGCCGATAAAGGACTTGGTGAACGCCTTGATGCGGGAATTGTAGGCTCGCAGCGCCTTGTCGGAGAAGGCAGGGGCCCATTTCTGACGCAGTTTGGCGTGAGCCTCGCGATCCCGAGTGCCATGCATGCTCGGATTGGGATAATCGATATCGTACCATGCTCCTTTGAGAGCAGGAGAATCATATCCAAGCATTGCATCGATGGCGTGTGGATTGGCCACGGAAAGAGTCGTAGCGCCTACGCGCACGAAGTCGCCATATCGCCTTTGAGCATTTGCAGGTAAGCATGTGAACAGCGTCGTCTGGGCTCAAGTCCCTCAACATACTTGTGCAATCCATCGAGTTTACGATACTGGTCCAAGGCGCTTCCAACATACCAAGCCAGCCAGAAGTCGGTCAGCCTTGCGAAGTAGGGCCCAGGAAAGTTGTTGAGGGGATTGAGAAAAATGCGGTAGAAGAGTGTGCTGCTGGTTGCTCCGAGCAGAAAAGAAGCATGAAAGATGAGAATCCTTATAGCAGAAGGCCATAGCGAAGTTCCGGCATATTTGACCAAGACGAAAGGCGACAAGATCGTGGCCGCAGCAAAGGCCGTTAGGGAAGTGTATAGATGACGCCAGTACTCATATCGCTGAAAGTAGACGAGATGTGCCGCGACTCCCAGTCCCCAGTAGAGGATTAATCCTGTCGAAGTCATGACCATTCTTCGTGCTGTGACGTTCGGACTCGCAGGCTGCTCGAGTGTGCATTCGGTAGTTGGGTCAGTCGCCAGATGTCAGGTGTGCGAAGAACAGATCTTGGATGGCGGAATCGTTTGCACTGCTTCGAGCGCTCTTAAGACAAGGACATGGACAATCGATCAGAGCTCCTCCGGGCAAGGTGTGTGCGTGGAGCCAGGTCATATCACGCCAATTACCAGGTCGGAAATCCGCGGGTTATGACGAGTTAACAGCGGGTGTTACACGGGGCCCATTCTGTCTACACACTTCACAGATCTCCCAAACAATCTCTGGATGCTACGCCTCGTGGCTGGACACGATCCGAGGGTACGGGAACTCTGGCGGGCAGTGCACAAAGGCCCATCATGGAACGCATTTACATACTGGGGCTTGGGAATGTCGGAAAACTGCTCGCTCACGCCGTCAGGACTCTTCCGGAGCAGCCAAAAGTGACGTTGCTTCTGCACCGGGAGTCGCTGCTGGAGGAATGGGAGGCAGGCGGCAAGAGCGTGGTGGTAGAGGGGGAAGATGGCATCAACTGCAGCACGGGGTACGACGTTGAACTTGTCGTTCCGGACCAACGTATATCGGCACCAATTCACCACCTGTTTGTTGCCACGAAGACTTTCACGACCGCATCTGCACTCGAATCCATTCGAGATCGAATTTCGTCGACGACGAGAATCTATTTCTTCCAGAATGGCATCGGAACGGTCGACGAGGTTCTGCAGAAAGTCTTCCCGGACAGCCACCCAGCACCTCTTCTCTTCCAGGGAATTCTGTTCCACGGCACACAGCGTCCTCCACTACCCATGTGCCGCGGAGATCCCAAGAGCAGCTTCACGATTACACATTCATCCTGCGGCTATTTGATTATTGGCTCATGCCAAGGTCGCGCACAACGAGCCATCGACTGCCAGCACAACCGCAAAGGGGATGAGAACCGGCGGCGAGAGAAAGATCTGCCAGCGCTCGATGATTACGCCTTACGAATGCTTCAAAAATGTCCCCAGCTCAACACGGTCATCGTTCCGGAAGACGAGCTGTATTTCACCCAACTAGAAAAGCTAGCCGTGAACGCCATCATCAATCCTCTAACCGCAATATCGGACGCCCCATGTGGGATGCTGAAGCCGCAAGAAGCAACCGTCAGCAAAGTGGTGCGGGAGATCGCGCGAGAAATCTCGACCATCCTCTGTGCACTGCCCGAAATAGCGGGAAATGTCGACTTGAAGGCACGATATGGGATGGAACGTCTGGAAGCGCTGGTGTACAAGACCGCCCGAATTTGTGGCGACGATTTCGCGCCCAGCATGCTGGACGACGTGCGCGCTCGTCGACAAACCGAGATCCATCATATCAATGGGTTTTTGCTTCGCCGGGCCGAAGAATTGAAGATTCCTTGCCCGGTGAATCGAACGCTGGTTCAACTGGTGGAGGCTAAAGCTGCGAGAATGTGATGGATCTGGAGAAATAGTGTCCCTGCTCTGATAGAACTCACGATTACATCTGCAATTGATCAAACTTCATAGACTTGTCGTCCCCCCAAAGCTAATTATGCGTCGTCTCGGACTCTGACAGCTCCTTGACTTCTTCGCAAAGCTGATGAAGCATGCGATCTACAGTCGCGATGCTAGCACTTCTCTGCCTCGCATAGATCAACACATGCAAATGAGATCCATCAGGATCCACATTGCCCACCACATCGACTTCATACGTTGGCGGTCCGGAATATGGCAGAGTTCGCAGTAGCACTTCTCGCTGCTGAAATTCCATCGGAGCAGGAGACTCCTGGAATAAAACGAAGGACCACAACACTCGTGCATCGTCTACGGCACCATCGTCTCTCGGCCATTGGGTGCAGTGGTCACGGATCTCGCCGAGCCCAATGGTCGAAAAGGGTATGCAGTCGAGATACTGCTTTTGGACCTCTTGTAGAAGAGAGGCCGAGGACTCGATGTCGCTGAAACGGATTCGGACGGGTACCACGTTCACACAGGGGCCGACAATGCTTTGATGGGCCTCCGGCAAGGCTTCACGACCGGACACTAAGCGCCCGAAATTGATATCGTCTCGCCCACTTTCTCGTCCAAGCACCTTGGCCCATGCAGCCGTGAAGACAGTCGCGGTGGTGTGTGTCGATGACCGATTGCGAGATGGAATGGCGATTGTGCGCAGTGCACGATACCCAGCATCCGCAGGTCCTTTGAACTCCAAGTTCGTCATCGTGAGCGGCGAAGAAGAATGCAAGACTTCTCGCCAAAACTTGTATCCCTCTCGGCGGCTGTCTTGCATGTGCTTGACATACCATGCGAATGGAGGGGACGGAGGCAGATCCAGGCCCTGATAGGCGATGAACAGACAGCGAAACCAATGTTGCAATGATGCGCCATCGTACATGGAATGAGGCATGTGCACCATCAGTCGCACAGTGGAATGTCGTTGATCCACGAGGATGTCGATGCGCAACCAACTCGATCCCAAGGAAAGACGAGGATCCTGTGAATGCTGGTCTCTGATCGAGCCGGTCACATCATCCATGCTTCCGTGCACCTCGTGTATTTCAATCGGCACCCAAACCTGATCAAGCACAACTTGATAGAAGCGATTGCGCGTTTGAATGAAAACCGTGCGGAGGATGTCGAATCTCTGCACCATCGCCATACAGCAGTGTTTGAGAAGCTCACAATCAATGCTCCCCACCAGGTCCACATACGCAGCATTTCGTCGTGGTCCGTCTTGCAAGAAGACTTGCTGCGTTTGAGTAGCAGGGTAGGCGTCGTAGACATGACCTCGCAAAGGAGCATCGAGTTGCGATTCGATTTCAACCTGTTCCAGAACCGATTTCCCGTCCTGCAAGCCCAAGAGCTGAAATGGCGCGTACACTGAACTCACCGACGTCTCAGGCCCATCGACATGGTCCACCCGACTCTCCAGAACTTGTGCGAGCTGGCCGACAACAGGTGAAGTAAAGACATCCCGTACGGAAACCAGGATCTTGAGGCGACTGCTGAGGCGAACCGCAAACCGCGTCGCCATCAGAGAATGCCCACCGAGATCGAAAAAGTTGTCATCGGCCGAAACGTTCTCGAGGCCAAGCATGATGCCAATCTCTTCGCAGATCACGGTTTCCATCTCGGTTTTCGGCCTGAGATCTACTTTTCGAAGCGGTGCGTGCTCTTTGGAAAGTAAGGTTGCTTTTCTCTTGAGCTCGGAAGAGTCGATTTTGCCACTCGCGTTCAGCGGCATTTGGTCCAGGATCTCGATGCGAGCTGGGATCATGTATGTCGGCAGCTGTCTCCGTAGATTATTGGAGATGTCTGAGACCAGAGCCTTTCGCCGCTTTCGCTGCAGGGGTTGGGTGCATAATGGCGTTGTCGTTGTGAAGGTGTCTGTCGGGAAGCGGAACTGGGGAGTTGGTTCGGATTGGGCGTGCTGCGAATGGTAGAAAATGACATCCAGACCGCCGTGTTGTGATCCGTGACGTGCCCAGCTAAGCTTGGTGTCCCATCCATGGAGTTTCCCGACTTCAACTAGGTCGACAGTGGACATGGAGGGTTGAGCTGACGCCTTTTCCTTGGCTCTTGAGAGCCATGACTCTCTGCCTTCGCTGTTTGCATTCTCTTGATCGATTTCTGCAGCAATCTCGCGCTCCAGCATGATGTTACTGTAGGGTATATTGCCGATCAAGATGTGCGGAGCATAGTGACGGGTTTGAAGCATATCCGAGAGTATGTCCGCATCCATCCCAGACGCAACAAAGTCTTGCCATTCGTCGTGAGGAGTCTCCAAAGCAATTGGACGTGTCCCCTGTTCGCCTCTGACGTGAATGACAGCGTTGAAGCGATACCCATTGAGCTCCGTCTCAGCTCGCATGATCTTTGGCAGGATTTCCACGTGTTCGATTTGATCCGGAAACTCTTCTGCCAACTGCGTGAAATACAGAGGAGAGATCAACAATTCCTCTTCCTCTTCTCTCAAACTCTCCATTCTGCGTCGAAAGTCTTCCTTGCTCGCCGAGTGGCGGAGCTCGTGCAAAGTTTTAGCCGAAAGAAACTCGTTGTAGAGGGCATAGGAACGGATATCGCCGAAGACGATCTTCCTCACACCGGGGAGGGCCAGAATGTGCTTAAGCACCACGTTCAGATACTCAATAGATGGGAAGTACTGTACGACCGAGTTCATGATGACCAAGTTCGGGTGAATGCAGCCCAGGCTTGGAATATCCAAAGCGGTACCTCGTCTTACTTCAACTTTGCCCACCAACTCAGGTCTTGACTTGATTGCACTCATCGTGAAGTTGACTGCTGACTGAGACGGATCCAGACCAATATAGCTTTCCATTTCCGGGTTGAGGTTGAAAAGAATCATTCCGGTGCCCGAGCCGATCTCCAGAACACTGCCTGGGTTTTCCCCTTCTGGCACAGCGACGCGCATGATGTCCTGTAGCCACTCCTCCATAGCACTCTCTGGAATGATCTCGCCATCAATCATGGATTTCCAGCCCACGAAATCTCGGCCAAGCTTCGCAGGGTCAATCGAGGAGATATCTTGGTACGTGTTGAGCTCAAAATGGCTCGACCAATCTCGAACATGAGACGAATCGACATGTGAAGTGGTTGCGGTGTCCGTTCGAGAAGGAGTGACAAAAGCGACAAGCGTCAGTTCTTCGTTGTTGTCTTCGCAGGCCAGGACTGCCGCATCTTTGATGCCGCTGTTGTATTCCAGGATGGTATGCTCGATCTCCGCAAGTTCAAGGCGTTGTCCACGAATTTTGATTTGTGCGTCGGCGCGGCCAATGAATTCAATCATATCGTCAGTCGCACGACGGCGGACCAGATCACCCGTGCGATATGCCCTTGCTTGCCGAACCCCATCGTCGAGCACGATGAAACGTCCATGGTCAAGTGCAGGATCAGTGTAACCGCGCGCCAATCCGTGCCCAACGATGACGAGCTCGCCCACTATGCCTGGAGCAACCAATTGCTGCTGTGAATCCATCACAAAGACTCCTGTGGCGTTGATTGCTGTTCCAACCGGCACGCCGTTGGGATACTCGTCGCCTGGATGCAACCGATATGTGGTGGTCAAGACAGTGTTCTCCGTAGGGCCATACACATTGTACAATTCACCCGACATCAGTGAACGGGTCTTTTGGGCATCGCGCGGATCAAACCGCGCCCCTGCGACGTTGAGGACGGCAAGCTGGGAGAGCATTGTCGGGCAGTACTCCAAACATTGTTTCAGAAGCGCCGGCGTGAGCATCGCGACTTGAATTGCTTCTTGTTGGAATTGGGAGCCGAGCGCCAAGGCGTCGATGACTTGTTCATGATCGATACAGCAGACGGTACCGCCGTTCAGCAAAGCAGAAAAGATCTCCCAGGTGGTAGCATCGAATCCAAGACTGGATATGTGCGCTACTTTGGCCGCGGGCGGATGCTGTGCCGTGACATGACTCTGGCACAGCAAGCGGACAATTCCTCGATGCTCGATCATGACACCCTTGGGACGACCAGTTGATCCAGATGTAAACATGATGTATGCCAGGCTTCTTGGCGAGGGACTGTGGAGTCTCGAGCAGTCAAGCGGACTCTCAAGCAGATGTCTCTGTTCGAAAACTTGGCTCATCCGCACAATGTCCCAGCCTGGATGATGTATGTGGATGTCCGGTGGGTCTTGATTGCTGCCCACCAAAAGTAACCTACAACTTGCCCCTACCGAGTCAATGATTCTTTCGACACGTCCAGCCGGGGTTCTCGTATCGAGAGGAAGGTAGACGAGACCAGCTTTCAAGATCCCCAGGATCGAGACGACAGTCTCACAGCTTCGAGGAGCAAAGATAGCCACGACCATTTCAGGGGCCAGATGGCGATCAGAAAGCCACATAGCCACCAGATCGGATCGAGAATCAAGCTGAGCATAGGTGAGCGGCCCCGTGGCAGAATCCGTGACAGCTGTAGCGTCCGGAGTTCGCATGCATTGAGCTTTGAATATGTCGACGACACTTGCATGGGAAGGGTAGGAGGCGGCGATGCTGTCGTCCAAAAAGTCGGCCAAATAGTTCTTCGGGGTCGTGGTCGTGGACAAGACTGCGAGATGAGTGTCTGGCTGCTCGAGACCTCGATCTAGAAGGGTCATGAACGTTTTCAAGAAATTTTCGATCGTGACCTGCTCGAACAAATCTCGTGCGAAGAGAACAGCCCCATCTAAGGCGTCCTCTCCACGATAGAGATGGAATTCGAGGTCAAAGCGCGACCAGGCCGCGAGACCAGGGCCGGCGTCAGCGATAACCTCCGATTCGACTCCGTGAAGCTGAATCTGTCCAAGTTCGGACTGGCCGTGCAAGGCAAACATCAACTGGACCAAGGGGTTACGGGAGGACTCCCTGACCCCTGGGACGAGCTCCGAGACGACTCGCTCAAAGGGGACATCTTGATTCTTCAGGGCGTTGAGGACCGCCGTTTTCGTCTGGTGTACGAGTGATATGAAACTTTCCTCGTCTTCGCGGATACGCAGACGCACACACTGCGTGTTGACAAAGAAACCGATCAGGCTCTGGAGTTCAGGTGTGTTTCGACCTGAGTAAGGGATTCCCACTATGCCATCCTGGGCGCCAGTTGCGCGGTAGTGAGTCGCGCGGAAGGTGGCTAGCAGCACGGCGAATGGCGTGGCGTTGTGGTCTTTGCAAAACTCCTGTAGGCGTGTATAACGCTCCCCTCGCAACTCAAACTTGACGATGCCAGCTGCTCCCGATAGAATTTGCTGCCGGACGTGATCGGTGGGAAGCTCAGCGGCCTGACTATCAGCGAGCTCGGTCTTCCAGTAGTCGATCTGGGATTGAAGCGCTCCAGATGCCAACTCACGCTGCTGCTGCGCCGCATGTTGGCGGTATTGAATGGGCAGGGGGTTCACGTGGGAGAGAATGTCAGCACCTTGCACTACATCGGCGTAGTAGTTCGACAAGTCACGACATAGCACATCGACAGACCAGCCATCAGCAATGATGTGATGCAGAACAATCGACAAGATGTGTGTCCCATCTTCGCAGGGATAAACGTTGGCTCTCCATAAGTGCTCAGCGTGTAGTAGGAATGGTCGCCTCTGTTCAGCTTCTAGCACACTCCGAGCTTTATCGAAGCTCATGATTGGGTGCAGGGGCCGTTTGAAAATCAGACATCTGGGAGTTTCAATGCGCTGCACAATAGCACCAGCTACATCGGTTTGATGGAAAGTAGTCCGTAGAGGCTCATGGACGCGCTCCAATGTGGCAAGGCACATTTCCAGAGCATAAATGTCGAGGGGACCTCGCAGCCGCACAGCCAAGGGGATGTTGTAGTACCAAGGGGTCTGATCTGGCCTCATTTTGTCAAGAAAGAAGAGGCGTTCCTGGGCAGCTGACGGCGCACAGTCGATAGATCTATTCTGCGTTCCATTCTGGAGTGGTCCATGTGGCGAAGGCGATGCTGATACGGATTTCGGAGCCGGCTGATGCTGTGAAGAGATTGGTGCAGGTCGCTCACGTATTGCACGAACGAGGTCTTTGAGAACGGGATGGCCTAGTACGTCCGTCATGGAAGTGCTGATCCCAGACCTGGATGCTATGTTTACAAGACGGATGGCATCGATTGAATCCCCTCCGAGATGCAAAAAGTTATCTCCTGGATTCACTTGGGTGGGGTCTATGCGCAGGACCTGGGCCCACATATTGCACATCATTGCCTCGAGGTGGTCGGGATCACTCTTGGTTCCAGTAAGAGGCAATTGGGCACTACTAGACACCCCATTTACGACTCCTTTGGGGATTGAAGCGATAGAAGCGGGCTGCAGTAGTTGTGTCGCTAAGCTTTTGAGCCGCTTTTTGTCCGTCTTGCCGGTGACCGTCACGGGGAAGTGGCTCATTCGTATGTAATGTTGCGGTCTGCTAGCCCAAGAAAGATGAGCCGTGAGGAGCTCATTCATTTGGTCGTTAAAGCTGATGCCCAAGACCTCTGCTGCATAGTCACGCCTGCCCGATTTGACCATCCCGGTGTCCACGCGGATAAAAGCTACAAGCACATTGCGGCTTTGAGCGTGTGAAGAAGGCACCGCAACAACGCTGACGGCGAGGTTCCCAAGCGTCTCGCTGGTGCCTGTCAGTGACTTGCCTGTTTGCTGCAGCGTAAGCAGCTGCTTCTTCACATGGTATTCGACCTCGCCGACTTCGATGCGCTGGCCATTGATCTTGATTTGCCCATCGATACGTCCGAGATGCACAAGGCTACCGTTAGGCTGATATCGGACCAGATCACCCGTGCGAAAGAAGCGCTGCTGCAACTCTCCATTGCCATGCCCACTGGGGTCGTCGCTACATGCACCATTCGACGCGTCTGGACACCACCACTTGGGAGCCTCTTGAAGGAACGGGCCGACGACATCGTCCGCCTGGCCAAGATATCCTCGACCAACACCGGGACCGTGAACGATCAGCTCGCCGACTGCTCCTACCGCGGCAAGAGCATCAACATTGTCGACCTCCGTTACCCACAAGCGAGCACCGACACCTCGACCAATATTGCGCGGATTAGGCGTATCCGATGTGATGCAAGCCACACCACAAGCACTGCTCGTCTCGCTCTGCCCATAGACATTGATCAGATCGCACAGCGGAGTCCATAGTTGTTGCATCTCGGATGATATAGGCTCGCCACCAGCCAGCAGTGTGAATGGCTGGTGATGAAGAACGTCCTGCGGCCGAAGAGTCGTCAGGAACGAAGGCGTAAAGAAAGCCCAATTGACGTGTTCTCGCGCGATGAAGTCAGGCAGTGCGGCGATTCTCTGTTCTTCCGAAGGCACACACACGCATCCACCATGTAGCAGCACCGCCAAGGTTTCGAACAGAGATGCTCCGAAGGCATAGGATGCGAACTGCAGTGCACGCGTGCTCTCGGAAATTCGCATCGACGGAGCGAACGCCAGACAGCTCGACGTGAAGGATGCATGTTCAATCAAAGACCCCTTGGGCGTTCCGGTGCTCCCAGACGTGAACAGAACATAGGCCAGGCTGCCCGGGTCTCCCGGTTCGTCGTCAACGTCTCCCCCTTCCCTCGAGCAAAGGCCAGCCATCGATGCATCATCGACAACGACGCAACAGGCCACCTTGTCGACCAAATGGCTCAACTGGCCCCTTGAAACCAAGACCAGCGTAGCGTTGGTCTGCCGGCATATCTGGTCCACACGTTCACGTGGAGATGTGGCGTCGATGAGGGTGTAGGCAGCTTCAGCCTTGAGGACCGCCAATTGTGCGATCAAGGTCCACTTGCTCTTTTCAAAGCACGCCGGCACTATCTGCTCCTTCGTTAAGATGCCCAGCGAGCGCAGATGTCGGGCCAGTCGGGAAGACAATCGATCCAGTTGTCCATAGGTCAACTTTCCATCCCACGCGGACACAGCCATTCGATCTGGACCCTTTCTGGCTTGGGCTGTCACCAGATGGTGAATGCACATCTTCTTGGTCTCGACATGTGGCTCGGTTGAGTTCCATGCCCATACTTGTTGAATATCATCTTCTGTCGCGAGCACGATGTCGCGCACTCGCTTGTCGTGGAATGCGCCGCTTTGGAGTTGAGATATGACATTTGCGAGCTGGTTCAAGAAGCGTTGCATTTGCTTATCATCCATAACAAGCGGGTCATACTGCGCCTGCAGCAATAAAGCTGGCGGTTCATTGCTGATAGAGCACTGGATCGATATTGCCACACTTTTCGCTGCCTCATACTGCACAGGCTCTTTGAGCTCAGCCTCGGCAGCATCAATGCCAGTTACATTTTCTGAAGCCAAGTGAATGAAGATTTGAGGCATGTCACCAGGAGAAACAGGCGTAGCGTAGTCCGAGACGCATCGTGTCATGTATCTCCGCTGGACACCATTGCGTTTCACAAGCTCATCGATCAGCTGCTCGCTGTCCACGCGAATGGTGACTACAGGCGTTGGTGGCTCCCCAACGCCACCATTGATCTTCACGCCATCTATGCTCTCTACTCCATGCTCTGCTTTGTCTTCCTTTGGGTAAGGGACGTTGAACACCACCTCGTCTGTGCCCGTGTATCGAGTGAGTAGTATCGCAAGCGCGACTTCACAGGTTGACTGGTCAAGCTCTTCGATGCGCGGCCCACTCCCGGATACAGGTTCCAAGAACGGCATCCGGAGCTGGACTTTGGAAGTGGGCCTCGGGTTGTAAGACGGAAATGGTAGCGTCGGGAACACTTGTCCAATCATTTCGTCCAGTTTCGATGTCTCTAGCCGGTCGTCGGACATGTTGATGGCTTCAACTCGAGAGTTTCACAAGTGGTCCCCGTGATTCTAATCGCCTCTGCTCGACGAACTTTCAAGGAGAGCGATCAGTCCATGCCAATAACTAATCACGATACGGGTAGGGAATGACTTCACGCGGTGGATATCGGAAAAGATCGAATATGTTCGGTTAAGAGGCCGTGAAAATAGACGATATATACTCCGACAGGGGTCCACTGGCTACATTCACATGTACTCCTTCACAGCTTCATTGCACCATGCCCAGAATCCCTCTGCCAACGAGGATCCACCTTCTGCATCAGGCCTCACGGCATCCTCCAGGTCCTTTCGCATGCGGGCTATCCGACCCCATGGCCAGATGTATGAGCCATTATGCTTTGCAACAGAAATATCATCTGACCATCCCGCATACAGCTGGGTATGAGCGCCCAAGACGGCCGGAAAAAGCAAGAGCTTCGCGATCGCGTACTGCCACCAGACCATGTTGCGCTGCAGTGAGGTCTTGAGGTTACCGGGATTGAGGGCGACGCTAACGAGGCCGTTCGACTCGCCATACCGCCGGGCAGTCTCTGCAGCCAGGAGGATGTTGCCGATTTTGCTCAGCATGTAGTTGTGTGCCTGGTCGTGCATTGATATCGCAGGCTTCCCCTCACTGCTGAAGAGTGCAACCGATCTGCCGAGCTCCGTGGCCACCGATCCGGTCCAGACAACTCTAACACTGCCTGCTGGTGCGCGTGCAGCGGTTTGGCACAGCATGGGCAACAGAAGCTGGGTGAGAAGAAACGGGCCCAGGCAGTTGACTCCCATCTGCAGCTCGTGCCCTTGTCTGGTATGGCTTCCCACCGGCGGCACCATGACGCCCGCATTGTTCACGAGTACGTCCAATCGGTCCGTCCGGCATGCGAGGTCTTCGACGGAAGACTTGATGGACTGAAGATCGGCGAGGTCCAGATACAGGAATTCCAGCTTTCCAAGCGTCTTGGTCTTGGTCTGCTGCTCGTCTTGGATCTGCTGGATGGCGGGTTTGGCTTTGGATACGTCTCGTCCCGCCAGGAAGACGGTAGCGTTCCTGGCATATAGCATCTTGGCCAATTCGTACCCGATTCCAGAGTAACCGCCCGTAATCACATGCACTTTCCCGTGCTGGTCAGGGAGCTGCTCTTCGGTCATTTCTGGACCGGGAATCAAAAAACTTTGGCGAAGGATTGCATCCATCGTGGCTGCTATAGCGTGCAAGCATGCGTTGTGAACGGAAGAGAGTGTTCCTCGTTTTACCGCCGTTTATATTTCATGTCGTGATCACATTCACCGCCATCCTCCACTAGCGTGGGTGCAAGCTTTCGCGGCAGAGGTTCGAACTGAAATCAATGGTGTTTCTGTTGATGATACTTAGCAGTCCGTGCATACGCTAGCAAGTGCCCTTCCGGCTGTTGTGATCCATCATGAGTTAGCTGATCTCTACCAAGTGGGTATACAGTGGGTGCATTACCCTGCAGACTTTGTTAAGGAACCTGTTCCTTGTTTGTACAGTTACTATCGTTGTTAATTACTAAGTACTCACTAGTTAGCGCCTATAATCATAATCATAGTCAATAATAAGTGAGTAATTAGTAATCACAATCACGTAATTATATAATTAGTACCTATAGTAATGCTTAGGGTTAAGAAGGAGGTAGATTTACAAGCTATCGTCGTTCCTAGTACTAGAGACCGAGTATAAGACTAGCAATAGTAGTAGTCCTTCTTCCGCCTCTTCTAAGGCGGCTAATTCTAATAGCACCTTAGTAACACCTATTCTTATCTAATTCTTCGAGCACTTATTTATACGAATATAGTTACTACTTATCTGTACGCGGTCCTATCTAGCAGTGCGGCGGCTCTTACTAAAGGTCCTCTTAGACTTAGCGGATATAGCGAAGGCGGATAATATATCGATAGCTAATTGCTATAACGCTAGATCGTACGTCTTCTACTATTAGATCTACTAGCTAATAGGACTTATTAATACTAGCTTCTCGATACTAACTAGTAGTAGTGCTATTAGACTAGCGTAGATAAAGGCTTCGAAGGGATCCTCGTTAGTAGTAATAAGGTTAGTTTAAGACTTAATTTGCTAGCGCTTAAGGTCCGAGAGCCCTTCGAAGGAGCGTTATAGTATAGACTATAGTTAATAGCTTCTAAAGCGTGCCTTGTAATCGCTCTAAAGCGCTCTCGTACGCGATAGTAAGGTATCTACGTCTACTATAGAGCGGCCTTAGAGCTAAGCAAGTCGTCGAGTTAGATATAACAATATTATAGTAACGTAGAGAGGGCTCTTCTAGTTAAGGCTATAGTACTTCTTAAATAGCACGCTTATAACGTTAATAGATCGAATAAGGACTATCCGGTACTTATTCTTAATAGCGGAGCGACTAAAGTAGCTTCTTAGATACTCTATAGACTCTTAATATATATCGAATGTAATAGTATTGCCTTCGAGCCGAAGTGTAACCTCTTTAAATAGATTAAGGAACCTCCGAGTATATATAAGAACCTTCTAGTTATCCTCGGACAAGCTAAACTCGCGGAGGTATAGCATTCTATCGAAGAAGGTGTTTAGAATAGGCCTTGTTTAAATAGCCTCTTCTATTATTAGAAGCTAACTATTCTATCGTGTCTCGCTAGGGATCTTTAGAGTCGTATATAGCAGTTAAGGCTAGGCTTTATAGACTTCTTAGAAGATGTTGTAGTTATCGTTCTTACGGAGAAGTTTAGCGAGTACGAACAGCCGCTATAGTAGACCTTGCTTAACAAACGAGTCTACGTCTATATCGAGCTACCTAGATATAGATACGCTATTACTATCGTTAGCTAGCACCGTTTGACTAAACTCTTCGCTTTCTGCGGCCTCCGCGTCCTTCGTAAACATAAAGGCTATTGTTATAGGGTTAAGGATATAGCTAATATAGCGCAACCGACGGTCCTTCTAGTACGAGTACCCTTATAAGTCTATAAAGCGCTTAATAGCTAGACTAAGCGTATTGTTATTAGAACCACTGTTAGTCGTTATCTAGCCGAGTTTGCTAGATATTTAGAAGGTCGAGAAGTATAGAAGAACGGCCTTTATAAGGAAGTTACTAGTATAAGAACTAGGTAGCAAATGTGCCAAATCTAGCAGTATTTGGACTAGCTTACCGCGTAGATTAATATACTAGCAATTAATGGCCTAGAAGAACTTGTAGCCGTACTATAACTTCTAGGTATTAGTATAGAAGTAAAGACAGCTAAGCGCTTCTGATAGTGCGAGTTTAACTCGTTCTTACTAGGTCTCGAAGTTATATAGAATCCGAGGATATAGTAAAGTATAGCTCTTAAGAAGGACGTCTTCTACGTACGGGTTAACCGATAGAATAAGCTCTTTGAATTCCTTTATAACTAGTACGTTATAAGCGATACTGCTAGCTATTATAAAGCGAGCGAGAGCGTACCTAAACTTGTCCTTATCGGCGGCTCCTTTAAGGATATTAATAGTCTTGTCCGAGTTAATACTGCCTTGCTTCTTCTATAGCGCCGAGAGGTTAATTTTGGTCTAATAGGTGCTATTAAGTTTCCGCTTCTCGCTACCGATAAAGATGAAGTGCTTCTTTGCTAGGTACTAAGGCGCGTTGCTAGAATTAGAAGCATACCGATTAGGGTCGTTATCGTTATAGTAGATATAGTAGAAGGCCTTATACCTGCCTCTATCTACCTTTAAAGGCTCCTTATCTTTTAGTGCTCTCGTATGCGCCTATAACTCTAGATCTAGCTAATTTCTACCTCTTCTACGCCTCTTTAAATCGGTAAACGTAGGTATCGGCTATACTATATTCGCTGTATTCGCTATATTCGAGGGCTACGAGGTAGATAGTCGTATAGTATTCGAAGATTAGAGGAACAAGGTATCCTCGTCTAGTATTAGAGACGGTAGTTCATTAGCTTCGGAGGTTAGAAGGTCGCTTAGATCGCTCGAATCTTTATAAAATAGTATCCGATCTAGTAGGTTGTTTTCCCGTATCGATGCTTAGGTATTTATACAATTTTCTAGCACTTTTTGAGTCGGTTTGTACTTCTTACGGAGGTTGTCTCGCATATCGAAGGTGTTATTGTCTTGAATTAAATAATAAATATTAAACTTTGACTTTGCTAGCGTACGGCTAAGCCGTACGGACCTTGCCGTCCGTATTAAGCGAAGCTTATCTATTAGGCTTAGCTAGACCCTTTGGGCTAATATAACGCAATCTTTATAGGCGCGATAGCAAGCCCGAATACTATTCTTCGACTAATTCTATACCTAATTAATAATAACAACCTTATTGTCGGCCTTAATACCCTCGCTATCGATTAGACGGTATAGTACCCTATCGATCCGATCCTTAAAATACATCTACCGCATCGGGCACTATAATTTTAGTCCGAGAAAGCACTCTTCTAAGCAGACGTACGGTTTTCTACTAAACTTAAAGTAGCGACGAGAACCTAGCGCTATTCGCCTTCCTTTCCGTTCTATACCCTTCTAGACTCGATTAATACTATTAGATATACGCTCCTAATAGATTCCGGCCCTTTCGACGATCTCCTTAGTATAGCGAAGGCTCTTTGTCGTCTTTCTAGTAACCCTCCGATATAGCAACTATAAGCCCTCCTTTTCCGCCTCTCCGATATACTACTCGAAGTCCTTCTATACTACTTCGTCGATAAAGGATAGTATACCGGCTTATTAGAAGTGTAGCTAAGTAGGAGTAATACAAAGGTCGGTTTAGTTAAGAGTTAGATAAGTCGCTAGTACGTCCTTTAGCAATAACTATAGGTAATAGCTTTGTAGTGCTAAGAAGGCTATAGTTAACTAGTCGGAAGTCTATATTGGCGGCAGTAAGAGGTCTTCCTCTTAAGAAGACATAGACTTAGCAACCTATCTAAATTAGCGACCTCGTATACCTATATTCTACTTACTTACCTCTCGATAGAAGTGCCCTATTTTAGGTATATTATTGTCTATAGAAATAGGAGGAAACAGTACAAATTTAATACCTGCTATAGGTATAATATACACCCTAGTATTACCTAGAAACAGCCGACTAATTGCTAATTATAATTACTAGTTACTTACTTAATAATTATAATCGTAGTTATATGTAATTATAGTAACTAGTAATTATTAGTAGTTAATAATCAATAAGTATAATAGTTATATAAGTGTTAATGCAATGCTTAGGCACTCTTACAAGGTGTAAGTATATTAACCTATATAAGGGTATAGATCGCGCCGCTACGGCGGCTAGGTTTGCAAGGCCGCTTAACTACTTCTATAGTTGTTTATAGGCCATATATAGACCGCTAAGAGGTCCAATTTCGAGCTAATTTGAAGCCTTATAATCGCATAGTATAGGCCTATAAATGAGGAGTAACGATAAAGCCAAACTAGACCTTATTTAGAGGCTATTTCTACCTCTTGTTTATCGACCTATTCTATCTCTTCCTCGCGGTTACGTGTCGCGCTTGTTTCGACCTCACTATCGCTAAATTCTACGCTCTTTACGATATATAAGAAACACCTGCCTCCTAAGGATGTAGAAGCGTTGCTTACTAAGCTAGAGGTAGAGCGGCCGGTACGTATAAGGTCGGTAAGGTCGGTAAGGTCGAGAATAGCGCTAAGTTAGTATACAGTTTAAGAGCCCATTTCTACTAAATATATATAACCGAAGGCGCCTATTCTTCTACCCTCCTATAGCCGAGTTAAGTAGTATTTAGGCGTACGAGGGTCTACGGATAGAAGGCTTCGAATACGACGAATACCGCCATTTCGTAACTAATATATAGTATTATAAGAATCGACTAAATAAGCTATTAAAGGACTCGTAAGGTCGGTTGTATCGCCGACTCGGCTTCGAGTATCGTGTCTATAAGCGCTATATAGACTATAATCGCGCAGATAGTAGAGAGGTTGTTTTTAAGCGTAAACGGCCTTAGCGATAGCGCGTAGCGCGTACGATGTATATATACGACTATTGCGCGAAGTTAGTAATTATTAAGGTCTACGAGAAGCGACTAAATCGCGAAATAGGCGAGTTTCTCGATAACTGCGTACCGGCCGCGCTACCTTCGACTCTAAGTGCGAATTTAACGGTTATAAGGCTAGTCTACGTAGTGTTGAAGCCGCTTACTAACCGCTACTCGCATAGTCTCGAATTCGTCGATTCTTTACAAACTAACGATAGCGTAAAGGCGGTATAGAAGGACCTAATCGCTTCTCGAGGTAGCTTAACGTTAGTCGCTTAGTTAGTTAAAGAACTGCGAAGGCCTAAATAGAGGCAAATTTAGTATAATGCTAGTGCGGTTAGCATTACTCGAGACCGCGTTTCTAGCGCTAATCGAGAAGGTCTAAAGCGACTAAGTAACAAGCGAAGATAAGGTACTAAACTAGCTATCGAGGAGCAGTTATAGTAGGCTTATTAGTACTTGTCTGCGAAATTTAGTAGTAGAAGTGGCTTTATAGAGATAATTAAATCTCGTAGAAGCGATAGACTCGTCTATAGAGGCCTAATTTAGGCGGCAAACTAGTAACTTCGAGCCCTTCGCAACTATAGGTCCTTATTCTTGCTAGATTCTACACACCTTACTAACAGGCTTAAATAGCCTCTCTTAACTATATACGTCCGCAATAACTACCTAGAGTAGCTTCTAGCGGCTCACTTCCTTATAGATTACGAGCAAGTATACCTAATTAAGAAGGCAATCTCGAGCCTTCGAGAAATAGCTAAATTAGACTATAAACACTAGATAACCGGTTTTAATAGCTATAGGAAGTACTTCTTCTTTAACTAGGCTAACCGCTGTTCTTCTAAAGCTAAAGACTAAGACGACTTTAACTATACTAAGCAATCTTCCTAGACACTACTATAGTTAATAACTGACGACTTAGTAAGTAAACAGCTCGGAGTTAGTTACGGTCTTGTAGATTGTAGTATTATTTAACGCCTCTGCTAACGGCACCTTGTTAAGACCCTCGAGAAGCACTTTAAGCGCTTTCTACCTATTTTAAAGGCAATAAGCAAGGCTCTGTTTATCGCTCGAGACTAAGAAGAATGCTAATACTTTATTAACTAAGCAATAGCCGCCTTTAACACCTATAACACGGCCAAATCGAGTAAAGAATTAGCCTATTTAAAGGCTAATTAGAAGGCCTCCGACAGCGATCGCTAGGCGACTTAGGTAAGGCTTAGAGACCCGATTTTAATAGCCGTTCGCACTACTAGTCTATTAGAGGGCTATTATGCACACTTAAAGCACCGAGACAAGCGTTAGATACGTAAATAGAGCTTGCGAGGTACGTATTCGTCCCCTTCTTCTATTGCTATCGGAATTCTATAAGAATAGAGTCCTACTACATTCCTTAGAACGGGCGGATTCCTTAGAATAGGCTAGCTTTCGGCCTTTAGTATTATTCTTAGACTCGGAAGCGCTAGGTAAAGGAATACTTCTATTCTATATAAGAAGTAGTCTTATAGGCCTTCTTCCGGTTCTACGACTCGTAGGCTTCTAACCTTACCGACGGTTAGCAATATAAGGCCCTTCTATAGTAGGTTACTAACTTTATAGCACTTAGCTACGACTCGCGAGTCGCTTAGATAGACTAGTAGTTTAAGAATAGTGCTCCGTAGGCTGAATTGACACCTCGTCGTACTATAAAGTAGCGAGTTGTTAACGACAAGCCGTTATAGTAACTAGTCTTCTATATAGCTCTAGCTCTATTGCTACTGCTACTAGTACCTATCGCTTCTATAACTAACCTTCTATATCGGCCTCGCCTTATTGTCGAAGGCTACGCTCTACTAGTCTATAGTCTACCTAATAGTAACGGCGTTGTTACTTAGGCTAAAGATAAAGACGCACTATACGAGGTTAATAAGGACCTATTTAATAGGCTCTTAGATACAGACCTTCTTCTACAATTAACGCTAATTAGTCGATTGCTACTATCTTTACTAAAGGACGCTAGCAAAAGTAATTAATACGATAACGACGAGGCATTAAGGTATTAATAGCCGTTACTATCGTCCTTACTAGACGATTTGCCCTTACTAAGTAAGCTGTTTCTACCTTCTATAGTAGAGCTACCTTCTATAGTAGAGCTACCTTCTATAGTAGAGCTACCTTCTATAGTAGAGCTACCTTCTATAGCAGAGCTACCTTCTATAGTAGAGCTACCTTCTATAGTAGAGCTACCTTCTATAGTAGAGCTACCTTCTATAGTAGAGCTACTACCTTCTATAGCACTATCTGTAGCTCTGTATTCTTTGCCTATATAGTCGCTAGGTAAGGACACTTCAATTAATCTACTATAGCTATTAGGTAGCTCTTATAAACCTCGTCGTTAGAAGCCTTTAATTAGTAAGCCTATAATACCTTCGAAACGCGCTCGTAGAAGGTTATACGTAGGTGCACTACCTAAACCGTACCGGATAGATTAATCCTCTTATACGCTATCTCCTATACTAATTAGACTACTAAAACGACGGATCTAAGGAGAGGTTGTCGCTTCTAAGCGGTAGAAGTGGTAGTGCTAAGGTATAGGCGTAGACTTAGTCGTTTTCGAGCGATTACGGCTGTTCGGAACGGTAGAAATCCGAGGTAATTAGGTTGCATAAGGGGTGTTTACAATACCCCGATTTGTACACTAATTTCGGTGGTTTCAGGGCACTCTGCAGGGGCATATAGAACCCACAGGGTATGCTGGAGCTACCTCGAATTTACTTTGTGGGTTGATATACTTGGATCTACTCTCACATGATTCACTACGCCAGCGTACACTTTAGCATACACCTTGTATATTCTACCTAGGGTATAACTCATCACAACGTCAAGACAAAATCTCGACAACGTGTATTGTGTATTCAAGATTCGAGCGGTTCCCTCGAAGTACAGAGTACCGTCGTAAAGCTTTCTTTTTATGCTGATATAACGGTTCCTTGAACGAAACATCTCTCAGCTCAACTGCGAGTAATGCATATCCGCGGCTTGGTGGAGTCACACGCCGCTTAGACACTTCGTAAGAGCGGCGTTTGCCTCCAATTCAGCTGCGGATAGACTACTGAATAGAACTATCACAACAGCGGAGATGATTCCGACTCCTCCATTGGAGTTCATCAAATTGCCGAATACGGACTACAAGGCGACGTGATTGGTGGTCCGCAATACCAAGTTGAACCAAGTCGCAATGCAGACCAGGTGCCTGGGAGATATTCGGGGTGTGACGGCTTACGACAACAGGAGTCAATGACCGACGCATGGGGGCCGTCTTGAACCTTCGTCGTGTCCAGAATGCCAGAGTTACCCCGACACGGGGCCCACCGCTAAGCTAGTTCTACTGTACCTCCACCATATGGATTGATCCTGACAATGTTGCGTCTGCAGCGTAAGTAGTATGTGCCGTGGTCTGCGTTCCGTGATGATCGTTTGCGCAAAATACGACCAGATCGCACCAGAAGCAACGGCAATGTTCGTTCTCTGTTCTGCACCCAAGGCCCACTGAATCCCACACCGTCCCCGACTCCCAAATGGCGACTCCCACACCCGTCGCCATTGTTGGAATGGCTTGCCGGCTCCCAGGCAACGTCAAGTCCCCTTCCGAGCTCTGGGACTTGCTGGAAGCGGGCGAGATTGCCCAGTCGGAAATCCCTCAACGTCGAATGAACATTCACAGCTGGTACCATGAGAATGGCCAGCGACCGGGCAGTGTCAACGCCAATGGTGGCTACTTCCTGGACTCTGGTGACAGCTATCGACACTTCGATCCTCACTTCTTTGGCATCAGCGCCGCGGAAGCGTGCACGATGGATCCGCAGCAACGAAAGCTGTGTGAAACTGTTTATGAGTGCTTCGAATCCGCAGGCATTACACTGGAACAGCTGTCTGGTTCCGAAACTTCGTGTTTCATAGGGAACTTCACCATGGACTTCGCCTACGATGCATGGAAAGATATCGAATATGTCCGGCCACACCAGACCACTGTATGCCATGCGCGTTCCGGTTGGGCCTCAAGAACCCCGTGGTTGACGTTTCACAGGGCACGGGAGCGACGATTTTGAGCAACCGGATCAGCCATATTTTCAACCTCAAAGGACCCAGGTGTGTTGGACACCAAAGCACGTCGCATCGTAGAATCCTCCCTCTAATGTGTAGATAGCTTTACAATTGACACCGCCTGCTCGAGTACCATGTATGCATTGCATTACGCTTGTGCTTCACTTCGAAGTGGGGACTGCTCTGCTGCCGTAGTCGGGGGCACCAACCTCGTTCTCGGCCTCGAGCAGCACATTGGCAGCGTTGCACTTGGCGCCCTCTCTCCCACCTCAGCCTGTCACACATTTGATGCTTCGGCGGACGGCTACGGCAGAGCGGATGCTGTCGGGGCGCTTCTGCTCAAACGCCTTCCCGATGCGATTGCTGATGGCGATCCGATCCGTGCCGTCATCAGAGGCACCGCCGTGAATGCGTAAGTCACCTCACCCCATGCCCAACTCCACCACCCATGGTCGACGGAACGAGAACGCTGATTTGAGGACGGGGGGGTAGAAATGGGAGAAGCTCCGGCATCAGCCATCCAAGCACCTATCAGCAAGAAGCTGTCATTCGTCGTGCGTATGCAAATGCAAAGCTGCCTCTTGATGTCACAGGATATTTCGAATGTCACGGAACCGGCACGCCGGTCGGCGATCCGATTGAAGTTGATGCCATTGGGCGGGTTTTCGCTTCATGCCATAGCAGTGACGATCCCCTATGCATTGGCAGCGTCAAAACCAACATAGGGCATGGCGAGGCTGCGAGCGCGGTGGCGAGTATCATCAAGTCAGTCCTGGTGCTTGAACGGGGTCTCATTCCCGCTTCTGTCGGCATAAAAACATTCAATCCCCTTTTGAACTTTCACGAGGGAGCCTTGGCGGTCTGCCAGACCATCACTCCATGGAACGTCACAGGCCGAGAATATCGTCGGACAAGCATCAATTCATTTGGTACGTATGCCCGCCCGCCCGCCGACAGCTTGTAGATGGGCTTTCTAATGGAGTTTGATTTTAGGATACGGGGGAGCGAATGCCCACGCCGTTATCGACAGCATCCAATCCTTCCTCGAATCTCTCCCCTTGGAGAGTTTTGGCTTTTCGCTGAATGGCCCAGGCGCATACGTCCACACAGCAGTGTCGCAGGCGTACTTGCTTCCAATGACGGCACACAGACCGGACGTTCTCCAGCAAATGATTGACTCGATTGGCATGAACGAAAGCCTTGCATCAATAATAGCCGACTTGGCTTTTACGTTGTCTGCACGACGCTCACAATTTGCCAGCAAGGCGTTCCTGGTAACTCGTTCGGACCACGCTGGCACGCGAGTGGATCTCAATTCGGCTCAATTGGCAACTCACACGGGTGCAGCTCCCACGATTGCATTTGCATTTACCGGCCAGGGAGCACAATGGAGCCAGATGGGTGTCGAGCTGGCCGAACGATTCCCTGTTGTACGTTCGACCTTCGAGAATCTCGACAGAGCCTTGGCTGCATCGCAAATTCCGCCGGAATGGACTATCCTGGGCAGTCTACGTCAGTCTGAGAGTCGCAGCAGGATAGGGGAGGCGGAAAGGTCGCAAACTCTATGCACTGCGCTGCAGATTGCACTCGTGGATCTCCTGAGGTCGTGGGGAGTCCGACCTGCGGGAGTGGTGGGACATTCGTCCGGTAATTCTTTTCACATGCAGGCATGGATCGGTATGCGCAACTGACGAGTGTATGACAGGTGAAATCGCCGCTTCCTACGCTGCAGGACTGACAACAGCGGAACAGGCAATATTAATCGCGTACTACCGCGGCATTTCGGTGCAGACATTACACGAGCCAGGCGCTATGCTGGCAGCCGGATTGTCTCTGGAGGATGCCGAAGAAATCCTAGCGGGACGAGAGGAAACAGATGTCGTCGTTGCCTGTCACAATAGCCCGCAAAGCGTTACTCTGAGTGGAACGATCGAAGCGATCAACGATCTCGCTGGGAAATTGGCGGCCAACGGTACCTTTGCTCGGAAGCTCAAAACAGCAAACAATGCCTATCACTCGCCAATGATGTCTGCAGCCGGGCGCTCCTATACGAAGCTGCTCCAGAACTCTTCTCGCCGACGATGGACTGGGTCAGGAACTTCCGATTCTGGCTACTCCTCTGCAGGTGGCTACTCCCCATCAGGTACCGACTCGCAGACTGTAATGTTGTCCTCAGTAACCAACGAACCCCTAACTGACTCCATTGAGCCTGGGTACTGGGTCCAGAACTTGCTCTCGAGAGTCAGGTTTGCAGAGGCTCTCACTTCATTGCTAGACACGCTGCCTACCGTGAACCACGTTTTGGAGATCGGACCACACAACGCGCTCGCCTCGCCAATCAGAGAAACGATGGCGCAACGATCGGAATCGATCACCTATCTGCCTACACTAGTACGAGGGTCGGACAGTGTCAAAGACATGTTAGAGTTGGGCGGCAAATTATACCTGAAAAACTGCCCCCTGGACCTGACTGCGGTCAATGGCTTCCAACGCAAGTCAGAGGCACGTCACGATACGCAGCTCACAATCCGAGATTGCAGGCCTGTGACAAGCCTGCAGCCGTATCCGTGGGCTTACACCGACCAAGAACAGCTGTGGTCAGAGTCCCGACTCTGCACTGACCTCAAGTTCCGACCGCTCGCAAGGCACGATCTATTAGGCAGCAAACTGCCCGGCACACCCCCTACCAGTCCTTGCTGGAGGAACGTTTTGCGAGTCAAAGACGTCCCTTGGCTAGCAGAGCATCGTGTAGCGGGCGAAATCCTTTTTCCCGCGGCCGGATTCGTGGCCGTGGCGGTTGAAGCGGCCTCTCAGGTACTGGTCCCAGCTGACAAAGGCCGGTCAGACATTGTGCTTGACCAATTACTTATCCACTCTGCCCTCCGGCTTCGAGAGAAGGAAGAAGTGGAACTCATCACCAATGCATCGCTGCTGGACTCGGAGCTGCATATCAGTATCAGAAGTGTTGTCCGCGGTGTCTGGACTGAGCACGTCAATGCGGTGGCTCGATGCAATACACCGGCTATGAGCATGACCCCCTCATTCACAGAGCAGCACCGAGGAGGCCGATGGGGAATCAACGCAGACAGCCACTGCCAAATGTGGTCCGAAGCAATGCGCCGCTTGGGCATGGATTACGGGCCCTCGTTCACGATTCTTTCCGACATAAGCGCTCGATCGAAGACTTCGGAAGCTTTCGCAACAGTTGCGCTTCAAGCGACGGATGAAGTCATGGTTGGAGAGTCCAGCTATCCAATCCATCCCACCGCCATCGACGGTGCCTTCCAGCTGATTGTCATGGGGCTTTATGAAGCGCTTCCGCACGCATTCACCAAGGCGTACATCCCTACCGCGATCAAGAACTTCCAGGTGCAGTCCGGGCAGGTCTACCCGCCCAGGAAGTCAGCCTTGGTCCATGTCAAGACCACAAGAATCGGCCAGAGGCGGATTCTCGGCCGTGTGGATATCGCAGACGACCAACAGCAAGTATTTCTGCAGATGGACGTGGAGCTCACAGCATTAGACGCAGACATGAGCGGTTCAGAGAACTCCGCCACGGAAAGCCCTTACAACCGAGTCATCTGGCGGCCTGATTTCGAGCATCTGACGACCACTCAACTGCACAGAATCCTGCCATACCATCAGGACCAGCGAACCGTCAAATGGCACTTCGAACGACTAGAAGAGACGTGCATTTTGATCCTCCTCAACGACTACTCCCGAGTCCCGACGGATTCACGTCTCTCGACCCTCCCTACGCACATGCAACGGTATGTCTCCTGGGTCCACTCACAAGGACTGATACTCTCTCAAAGCCATCCCCATAGAGGACTCACCAGCGAAGCGCGAGAGCGCCGCATTTCCGAAATCGTCGAAGAAATGGATCACGCAATCCCCGAGCTGGACCTCATTGTTCGCCTGCACAATAACATTCTCGACATTGTGTACGGACGCGTTGGGGCTCTCGATGTCATGGTCCAAGACGGCCTTCTCTCATCAGTATACGAGATCGGGTTCTCCGGCCTGGGAGCATACGACAAGCTCGGAGGTGTCCTGGCCCTTCTCAGCCACAAGGATCCTCGAATGCGAATTTTGGAAGTCGGAGCGGGATCAGGAGGAGCGACGAAGCCTGCTTTGGATGCACTGATGGGAGACTCGTCGTTTCCGAAGTACTCGGAATACGTGTTCACCGACGTTTCCACGGCCTTCCTCTCGCGTGCCCAGGAGAAGTTCCAGAATTATAAAAAGCTGTCCTTTAGCATTCTGGATATCGAGAAAGACGAGCACGGGTTTGAGGAGCACTCTTTCGACTTGCTCATAGCCTCGAATGTGAGAAGTTGCGAGACGTTCAACGCGATGTGACCGCTAACAAGAGCCAGGTCATTCATGCTACGGCTTCCATCGTCGAGACCTTGTCGAAGTGCAGACGCTTGCTCCGTCCCGGTGGCCGCATCATACTAATCGAGACCACTCAGATCAGGCTCGTTACCGGACTTCTGGTGGGCCAGCTGCCGGGATACTGGCTAGGTGTCGACGACGGGAGACGTGACGGACCATTCATCTCCGACGGAGAGTGGCACAAACGCCTCGGAAGTGCTGGATTCTCTGGTGCAGATCATGTTCTCTTCGACTACGAGCCGCCTTTCAACTCCACATCGGTTATTATATCGCACACGTTGGACGATTCCAATCGCCTGGGACGTGTGGACAGTCCTATGGGGTCGATGCGCAATGAACGAGTAGATCTTGTAAGTTGCATGACGACGTTAACCCTGCGCGTGGAAGACTGACGCGGTGTAGATCTGCCTGGAGAAGCCTCATACAATAACATCGCGGCTCCAGGAGCTCTATCATTTGCAAGGCATCGACACTCGCAAACTGCTCCTGAGCGAAGTATCGGAGGAGACTGCACTGTCCACCCGCGCGATCATTCTTATCGAGCTGGAGAGAGCAGCCCTGTGCGAAATGGCTCCGACGGTCCTCGCGGGACTCCAACAACTCATCCGCGTCTGCACCAGCGCAGTATGGGTGACGAACGCCGGCACGTTACGCGGCGAGGTCCCTGATAAGTGTCTTGTTACCGGCCTTGTCAAGTCCATGACCATTGAAGAACCATCTTTCCGCGTGGCGACCATAGATCTCGATCCTGTCACACTGGAGTCAATGGCAACCCAAGCCGCACAACACATCCACGACCTGGAGCTCAAGTTCTCTGCGGACCCTGATACGGAGGGAGATTACAATTTCGTCGAGCAAAGCGGCGTGCTCCACATCAGCCGCAATATCATCGACGACAAGGAAAATGTCGACTTCCGACGCCTCTCCAAACCGGAATTGCAGCTCGGGCCTTGCACATCGGACAGGAAAGCCATATTTGGCCGCGCGGGCGACTTGAAGACGATATACTGGGACTGGGTCGCGCCACAACCGCTGGGGAAAGATGAGGTTCTGGTCGAGGCTCGGTCCTTCGGGCTCGACGAATCCGTTCTCGCAATGCTTTGTGACGAAAAGGGTTGCCGGAAGCATAGCGTCGAGGTGTCTGGTCGGATTGTCGCCGTGGGATCCGCGGTCCAGAAGCTCGTACGGGGGGACGATGTGGTGTGTTTCGGACCGCCATGGCTACAGACAACGTTTGCAGTGCATCACAGTTGCTGTCTCGCACTGAAAGACATCGAGGCGCCTGTTGATCACTCGCCTCCGCAGAAGAAGTGGTGGGCGACATGGTGGAGGCGATCTGCACCACACGTACCAAGATCTCCGGGGACCGCAGATGCATTCCGGGGACAGCTCAAACAACTTTGTCTGGCATGGCATGTTTGTCATGGACTTGACATACATACTGCTGAGAGAAGGGTTTTGATTTCCCTTCCAGGCGACACTCTGGGTCATTCTCTGGCGCAGATTCTGCGACTCGCTGGAGCATTCGTCACAGTCATCCATGGGACGGGGAGAGAGCACTACGAACTGCACAACATACCGGATCTCACGGTCTGTGCCGAGGACGATTTGAGCGAGCGTGTCTTTGACATGGTTGTGTGTTGGTCACATTGCGAATCAAAGGTACATGAACTTGTACGATCCGGAGGCGACTTGGTTCTGTTGGGCACACCCTCCTGTGAGGCTGCCAATCGGCCATTGTGTGACATGATGGGCCAAGGTGTAGCGGTACGGTGGATCGACCTGGGCGGTGCCTGGGAGAGGGATCCCGTGTCGATTACCAAGTTGGTTACTCGTTCGAAAGCTCCCTGCTTCAAGTGCTAACAGACTACAGACATCTGAGAAGGATCCTTGAACTGGCTACCACAGGCGATCTGCAGCCACTACATGTCCAAGACTTCCCGCTTGGCGAGATCCATGCTGCCGCACAAGCACTCCCTTCGAAGGACAGCTATGGCCCTGTCAGCTTGGTTGTAGCGGCTGACAGTCCCGTCATGGTTCGACGGCAGCCAAAGCCACTCCAATTCAATGCAGAAGCGGCTTACTTACTGGTTGGGTGTCTTGGTGGTCTTGGACGTGTGATTACGTGAGTATCCACGAAGATCCGAAAACGTCAAGCAATTGCTGATCCATATCTCTCCCAGCATGTGGATGATCTCTCGAGGCGCGCGAAATCTGATCTTCCTCTCCCGCAGTGGCACCAAGGGCTCCAAGGCAGCATCACTGGTCAAAGAACTCCACGATTTGGCTCGCTATGACTACCCCGACTTGCAGGTGCAGGTCATTCGAGGCGACGTGTCTTCCGCAAACGATGTTGCGAAGGCTGTCAGGAGTGCCACGGCTCCGATACGCGGCATCATACACGCGGCGATGGTGCTCAAGGAAAGTCTCTTCGCCAACATGACCGTCGACGTGTGGGATCAAGTCGTCCGTCCCAAAGTGCAAGGGGCAAGAAACTTGCATGAGCTTACGCTAGGCATGGATCTGGACTTCTTCGTGCTCACAAGTACAATCCTTTCCGTCGTAGGAGCTGCCACACAGAGCAACTATGCCGCAGCGAATGCATATCTGGACCACCTCGCTCGCCACAGACACCACCGCGGCCTGCAGGCGTGCTCGCTTTCGATCGGCATGGTAGTCGGCATAGGCTACGTGGAAGAACACGAGGCCAGTGAGATTGCTCTGAGACGGAACGGAATGTACGGCATCAACATGGCAGAATTCCTTCGCAACTTGGAGCTCGCATGCCGACGCAAAGACATGGACCAGGTGATCGACGAGTTCGATCGATGTGCGGTATCCAACATCATCACCGGCATGGACCCGACTCGAATCGCTCGCAACAGCAGCAAGACGATTTGGCAACGTGATGCCCGGCTGCGACACTTCCTACAAGCTTTGGATGATTCCTCCGAGGCCAGTAAAAGCACTGGAGATGCTAGTCATGCGAAGGCCGACATGCCCGAGCCCAACCTGGAGAAAGCTCGTGAACTTGGATCCGCAGCGCTCCGGGACGAGGTGACGAGACTGGTGGTGGATCGAATTGCGCAGTTTGTCATGGTCAGCGCCAACCAGATCGACCCAGCACGAACCTTGTCGGCGTACGGCATGGATAGTATGATTGGTGCTGAGTTGAGAGCTTGGCTGAGAAGGTCTTTCAAGGTGGATGTTCCTTTCATGGCGCTGTTGGATCAGAATCTCACTTTTGTTGGTCTGGCGGGTGTGGTGACTGCGGCTATGGCTTCGCAGGAGAAACCTACGTAGAGGGAGATTGCTTGTCTTTGCAGTGAGTCTCTCATGAACAACAACCGCCTATGCTGCTGTGAGATCGATTCAACGGCTCAACACGCCGTCCGACCGTCGATCCTGCAGAAAGACAACACAATCGTGTAGCCTTGTGCTTGGACATAGAATTGAGTCGAGAAATCAAAGCGGGTAAAGCGAGGGAAACTCTACCATCGATATCTACACCTCCACCCGTGAGACGGGATAACCCGGCTTCAGAAGCGTCACATAGCTCAAGTAGACAACCAAAGCTGTGGCCAGAAGTCCTGCTGCGATGAACGTTGATCGCGGAGCAGGACTTGATTTTGATTCCAGCTCAGGTTTCTTCCCACCACGAGTCCTCCATTCATCCACAACACCTCTAAAGTCCTCCGGTTTGTAGACCGCGAAGTTCTCCGAAAGCCAGGATCCCTTCCGGTGACTGCAAATCCCAAGGTCGCTATAAATGACATCGATGTACTGCCACCAAGTCAGCGTACGAATGTGGAATGTCTTGCGGACAACACATACCGAGAACCAGTCCACAAGCGCAAATGGCACTTTCCTTCCACACACGTATCGTCTCCGAATCCAAGCGCTCGTACGTGCCGCCTCCAACTCTCTGGCAGGTTGATCAGGGATGTTGAGGTGTCCCGATAGATATGCCGTGATCCAGAGAGCCTGGGCTTCGAGCACGATCGGAAGACCAGTATTGCGTAGAAAACCTATGTATGCAATTGACTTGTCGGCGTACTCTTCCGCCACGGGCACGAGGAATCGATAGAGGCGGTAGTCATTCAGGCTGGAGCTTTCCCATCCTGGAGGGCTTCGGGAGAGTAATGGGAGCTCCTGGATGATTTTCTGATCGGCTTGTGATTTCAGGGAACGCCACCGGGCCTCCTCTGTGGATGCGACGGGTCCGTTTGAGGGACTGGGGAGACCAAGAGCCGCTCGAGTGTCTGCGGGAAAAATGTCGTGATTGGCTTGCCAGCCTGTGGCCAGGACGGCAGCGTCACTCGTGAGCCTGGTCCCCTTGTCAAGCTCGACGGCGCCTTCTGTCAGCCTTTGAATTGTACTCCGATGGACGGTGATTTGACCGCTACTGTGTATCGCATCCCACAGGCCCGGACATGTCATGACTCCCAACGTGGCGGGACTCCAGAACGAAGATTCATTCCCCAGCTTCGGCCTTAACTTTTCGCCATTGGAACTCCGGCCATATCCTGCAGAGTAAGCCATCATCCATGTGGTGACTCGCCAGAACGTCAAGATAAACCAATCCGCGATCGCGAGTCTCTGGGAGCCGCGGAAAAGTCTGTGCCAGACGCTGGTTGTGTCGAAGGGATTGGGAGAAAGGACGCCGAAGAATCGGGTATTGTTCAGGTCGAAACTGGAGAATATGCCGAGCATCTTCAATGGAGTCATTAAAGACGGTCCTCCGCCATCCGGTCGGATGATCCAATCGATCCTCTTGCCCGCAAGATACAGAAAGTACACAGCTTCAAACGCCGACTTCGATCCACCATAGACGGTAACTTTTTCGACTTTTGGACCAGTGAGAACATCTTGAGTCGTTGGAAGGCCGAGATCTTTGGAATGGAAAACCGGGCGTTGGTAATTGCGTCGGTCAAGTTGGGGAACATTGGGCGTCGAAGTCAGGCCAGTAGCGACAATGAGCTTGTTGCATCGGATTGAAGTCTGCGTTGTTTCGGTCGAGAGAACTTGAAGTTGCCAATGGCCAGTTTCATTCCATCGCTGAACACTTTGGACCGTCGTATTCAGTAATGTACGCTGATGGAGATTGAAAGCAGTAGCGTATTGCTCCAGGTAGCGGTTGACAGCAGCGCCCGGAATCCAGCCGTCACTTTCGATCCCTTCGTGATCCATTGGTAGATCCGAGAAGTGGAAGTACCCCCATCCTGCTTCACATCGGAGGTTGGGATATAATCTTTGCCGGCTCCATGTCCCTCCAACGCTTGAGTCGCTGTCGATTATCAACAAGTTTGCCCCAGGGTTGACTTGGAGGAATGTCTTCGCTGAGACTAGACCAGACCATCCAGCTCCTATCACAACCAGATCGTATATCTCGTCGATCTGCTGCGGCTCCATGTGTATCTACTGTATCGCTCTAGTAACTGATTGAAGGCTTGAGATCCCAATCCGCACGCTCATAACAGCACTCTGTTCACTGCCACGAAGCTTGGTCACAAAGTATTGGTGGGAGATGCCTATGTCAACTTCTGTGTTAGCAAGGGAGCTCGAGAGAAAGCAACAGAGGTCAGGCAGACGGCCACAAGGCTCCTAGTCGACCCCATTCTAGCTCATGCAGGACTAAAGCATTGGAGACTGTAACAAGCACCTTCGAGAATTGCCGCGTTGCAAGGAGCCAGAACTACCCCGGCTGAGAGGCCGAACTCAATGACCAATTCGGGTCGGGCAGCAACCAGGGCAGGGCGAAGGTTGGGCAATCCATTCTTGGCTTGCCGTGCACAACAGCGAATCACGACTCGAAGCGAAAGTTGTGCGTTCGACAGGAAGAGTTCACAGAGCATTCCACATAATGACACGCCTAGACCGCATTGACTACGGTCCGCACACTTCGATCACGTCGAAATGGGGTATTTGATCTCCAACTTCATAGATGGTACTTATTGGATCTCGTCTACCAGTGTCCTGGTGGCCTGTCTCTCTCTAGCCGGGGCATGGACTGCAGCACGACATTGGACGAGCCCGTGGAAGAAGCCTCGATATCCGACTATCAACCGGGAAGAATGGGATTTGTTCCGCCATCGAGCTACGCAACAGTACATCACAGAAGCAAGAACCCTCATAAAGAGAGGCTTACATAAGGTAAGCATACGGGATAAACGAATACAAGGGCAGTCGGGCTTTTGACACCACGTACAGTATCGAGGACCTTTCACCATTATTACAACCGGCGAACCAGTCCTCGTTCTGCCGCCACAATACACAAAGGCCGTCAGCGAGCATCCTGCACTTAGCTTTGGCGACTATGCGCAGAATGTACAGTATCATGAGTTCTACGACATCAGGTTCTTTGATTGAAGGTCGTGTGTAGCTGATATGCTTTGGGAAGGACAACCTGGCCTTTCGAACGTGGACGTTCAGTGCCGCGAAATCGATCAGTGTCCTGCCTGAGCCGGTGTTGAAGGGCTTGTCACGGAAAATACGTACGTGGTTTCAACAAAAAGAATACTTCCAGCGTCAAGAGACCGCTAACACCATAGCAGCTACATTGATCAACACAATATCCTCCGAAGTCTCCGACTGCTTAGATGAAATGTGGGAGACAACACCAGGTCAATCCCATCTCAACACGCAACAACATAACTCTACCTCCACTAATCCTTCCTCCCCACCAGACTGGCACGAAATCCCAATCAAACAAAACATCATCCCCTGCATCGCCCGTCTAACATCCCGAATCTTCCTCGGACCAACAATCTCTTCCAACCCAGAATGGATCCAAACCGCAAGCGACTACACCGTCGACATCTTCCTCGCCTTGGAACGCGTAAAACGCTGGCCTCGCCCCCTATATTTCCTCGCAGAAATCCTCGAACCGGCGTGCTGGAAAGCTCGAGCCCAATACGCCACGGCGGCAAGAATTTTGCAACCCTTTCTTCAAAACCGAGAAGAAAGTTTGGCACAAGACCAAGCCGTGCCCGAAGATTCCATCGAATGGATCCGAAACTTCGCCACTCGAAAACTTTGCAGCGATGTGGATAACCAGCTGGGACTGACGATTACGTCGGTGCACACCATGGCCGATCTCTTGACTCAAGCCATCATCAACCTCTGTGTGTATCCGGACATCGTACCAGCTCTCCGGGCCGAAACCGTACGGCTGGTGCAGAAGAACGCCGATGGGATGATTGACAAGTCTGCGCTCAACGATGCGGATCTCCTCGACAGTTTCTTGAAAGAGACGCAACGACTGAAACCGTTTGCTTCGGCGGCTCTGTTCCGTCGAGCGAGTTGCGATGTTCGGCTGGATGATGAGGTGTTTCTCCACAAAGGGCAGAATGTCTGTGTCGCGCATCGGATGTGGGATGAGGAGCGGTATGAGGGGGCGGAGACATTCAAATATGATCGATGGGTTAGGTGTGGAGGGGAGGCAGGGGAGGGACTTCATAAGCGGCTTGTGGCGACGAGTGAAGACTTTACGGCGTTTGGGCATGGGAGACATGCTTGTCCGGGGAGATTCTTTGCTGCGGCTGGGATCAAGATTGCGCTGATGCAGATTTTGTTGAGGTATGATTTGAAGCCGTTGGAGTGGGAGGAGGGGGATTTGGTGGAGCATGGGTTTTCGATGACGACGAATCCCGCGAAGAAGATATTTGTGAGGAGGAGGGGTGGGGTTGGAGATGTATGAATCAGAGTACATCAGCCGTTATACTCTCTCCCTATACTCCCGCAACAAAATCACTACACCGCTGATACGCAACCCTCATTCGCTCATCCCTCCTATTAATATACATCGGATCAAAACGAATCTCAGTCTCAACCATCCCATCCTTCTTATAAGGCGTACACTTAACAACTAATGCCCTTCTCTCATTCCTAATCAACCTCGCACACCTCAATGGAATACCCTTGGCAGAATTTCCCCCTTCACTTCCCTCATCCCCACCCATCCCAAAACACCCCGGATGAACATAAACCGCAACCGCAGCCTCACAAGCCTTCCTCGTCCGTTTATTCAACTTAGCAATATTCTACATTCCGTAGAGTTCATAACGAATACAGTCAATGTGAAGGAAGGGCTAGATATCTTTCAACCCGTTTTATAGATCGATTTCGACTTCGCCGCCGAGGGGAATGCATAGAGGTACGACGGCGATGCGGAGGTAAAGGTGAGGTCTTAAGTTGCGAGGTCGAGAGAGGCGTAGAGGATTGTAGAGAGTATATAGACGCTAGGAGGTAGTATAGCCTATATAGATAAGAGAGAGGCTATAGTTATAGGCATTAGATAGTATAGACTTATATCGTATCGATATAAAGGCTATAGTACTACTTAAGCTAAGTATTATATCTAGAAGTCGGTAGACGTTAAAGAAGTATAGTATTAAATACTTCGACTAGCTACGTTCTATATATAATATACTAGCTTAGAAACGATAGGTAGAGAGTATAGACAACTTAAGGTATATTTTAGTACTCGAGCGAGGTTTTATAGCGACTATCTATTATAAACGATATAGTTCGTAGTAAGGATAAGTAACTAAGGCCGGCCTTTTTTACTAAAGATAGTAAATCGAGATATCGGAGTTCCTAGCGGTTAATATAAAGCTTTTGCCTCGACTTTCTATACTTCTTATAAAGAGACTCCGTTATAAACCGAGTAAGGCTCCTAGGAGACTATATCTAGGCTAAGGACGTATTACGCAAGGGACGAATTAGTAGGTCTATAATAGTATAGTATTATAGAAGTATCTACGGTACTATAGAAGTATATACTAGGCCGGCCTCCCGTATCTACTATAATAGAACGATTTAATAATACCGCCTACTTAAGTACTTAATTAGAAGGGTTCGTAGTACTTTATAAGCCTAGCAAATCTCGTATAAGCGCTCTAGAACTAAGAAATACTTAGATCGATAAAGTTACGCTCTAGCCTAAAGCAAAATTAAGTATAGCTACTACTAGGTACTACGAGGTATAGACGAAGATAATAAGCTTGCCTATTAGTAAGTAGGTAGGCGTTGTCTATCGTATCCTAGTAGAGCTAACTATCCGTTTAGACGACCTTACGGATCTGATCGCGTATACGATTATCTAATAATATATACTAGGGTCGGATATCTTCCTTTATACTAACTTCTATAGTATATATAAAGGATAGCTAGACTATTTCGTAAAGTCGAGGAGTAGCGAGAACTTATCGAAAGAGTATAGTTATACCGTATTTCCGCGCTAGAGATACTAAACGTATTATAGAGATACTATATATATATCGCTACCTAGATCTATAAAGTAAGAGCTAATCTATTTAGTAGTTACTCCTAAGACTTCGGACTAAAGTAATTTTAAATCTCGCTTATAGCTATCGATCGAATCCTACTTAATATCCTCGCTATTAGGATATAGCTATAGTATAGGCTAATAGTCGATCTCGCGTATCTAAGCGGCTAATAAGGCAGCTTAATTACGCTTCCTAGTAGGGGTTAGCGGAACTCGTAAGATATAGTATAAGCAAGTAGGGACTATATAGAGAGATAAATACTAACCTATTATAGCTTGCGCTCGATAACTTAGTTATATTTACTCTATAATCTTAGAAGTATTACGAGAGTATATTAGGCAAGCGTCCTAAATACTATCCTCCGGCCGATCTAAAACTAAAAAAATTATAAGACGAGGCTTAGAGATATTGCAATAGTAGACTATATCGATAATAGTAGTTAAGTAAGATAAGGCTTTTCCTAGCTATTACTTAATCTCTTCTAGCTCTACGCTCTAGCTAGAAATCTTAACCTAATACTCTTTCCGGCTAGGGAGCTAAGTAGAGCTATCTAATAGATATCTAGTATAATCTCCTATCTAGAAGAGACGCTTCTTTTTATTAGTAAATAGAGGCCGAGCGGCTATAATATAGAGACTTTAATAAAAGTATCTTGCGTTCTTATATTATCTTACTAATACCTATCCGATAAGATAGATCCTTTAATTAGAAGCTCCCTAGTAGAACATCCTCGTAGTATAAGTTCTAGAAAGCCTCTAAACGTAGAGTCGACGATATAGAACTTACTAGAAAATAGTCGAGGAGGGAGGATAGATCTATCGAATTTCTAGCTTACGTTATAGAGAACTGTTTCGTAAGCGTTTACTATATAGGTATCTATTAGGCCGTATATAACTAAGAACTTATCCTAGTAGCTATTCTAGCTAGGACGATAATTCGGATAGTCTAACCTGCTCTCCTCTAAGGATTATACGTTTAATTAAGCCTATAGAAAGCGGAACGGGGTATGTCTTAAGAATACTTAGGGTTAACGCGATCTAGTTTACTCTATACCGTTCGGTAGTAGCGAAGAAGTTATTACCGTATTCGTATTCTTATAGTATATATATACAACCTCGATAATATAGTATAGCCGTAATCTCGGTTACTAATAATAGGTCGAATATTAGTCGAGTAGACTATAGTACGCGACTCGTCTCGTATCGTCTAGGCCTAAGCTAGTAGCCGCTAAAGACGCAATTAGAGCCTTTTAGGAAAAGACAACGGCTTTAGGCGTTCCTATTAAGCCGGATATAAACAAGATATTCGTTACGTAGTTTTAGTTAAGCTTATTATTAGATCGCGCTAAAGTTAGAAAACTCGAGGGTAGTAGCTCCTATACGTCGTTAAGAAGCATCGTCTGTCTATAAACTATATCCTTATACGGCGGTACGTTCGTTAGAAAAATCGTAGCTTCTAGCCGTAGAATAGACTCTCGATATTAGAGCTAAAGAGGCTATACGTAATTAGTATATAATTAGGCCGAGTAAAGCTAGGGTCTTAGTGCCTTAGGCAGGGCTTAGCGCTCGGCGTTAGGCTAACTAGCCTACCTTCCTCCCTCTCCTCTTAGATCTCTATCGAATACTATACTAATTCACTACTACCCTATCTATCTACTAATATAACCCTTCTTATATAGTATTCGATCTACCCTTTAAGGGTAGCAGCTAGATAGTCCTTATTTTAAGCTTTTAGCGGTATAGCTACGAAAACTATCGATTTAACTATATTACGCCTAAAGAACGGGACCTATACGTACTATTCTATTAAAACAACCGTACCAATTATTAAGCAAGGCCTTCTATACGGCCTATTATACTAAATTAATCGCACCGAGCCGATATCTATTAATTCCGCTACATCCGTATCTTAGAGGCCTATAATACATTATTAGTATTATCCCCTATTATAATAGCCGGCTTATTACGAAGCAACAACAACCGTGCTACCGCTAGTAGCGCTAGCAACGACAACGCTAGTAGTATAGTGCCTACTAAAGTACCTACTAAAGCACCTGCTAAAGAGCCTACTACTAGGCCTGCCGAAGAACCTATAGTTCTAGGTAACGACCTAGAGTTGCCTATTAACGATATACTTAACAACATTGTTAATCGACGATATAGCTAACTAGCCTTTAGCCCCTAGCTAGTAGCGAGACTTTAAGAAGCTACCTAAAACAGGCTTACTGCTCTACGCTAAGAGTAATAGCTAAAGGACGACCTCCTCGAACTTCGCCGCCTTTAGGAAGCCCCGACAACTAAACTAGTAGTAGGGCCTTCCTTACTACTAGTCTAAAAGAAGGATGCTAAGCTTAAGGACTATACCGTATTTAACGGCTCTAGTCGTAAGCAATATAACGACTACATTCGTAACTATAAGCTTAACTAGCGCAATGCACTAAGAGCGCTACTAGACGATTATTCCTTAGTCGTACACGCTATATAGTATATTAATAGAGACCTAAAGCGCACCTAGGATAAATATTTCGACTCCCTTACTAATTAGACCGCTATTTAGTAGCAACACTATAAGACTATTATACTAGACACCCTTAGAAACCCTATACTAAGGCAATAACACGCTTAGGACTAATACCTTCGAGCTAAACAAAAGACTAATTAATCGGCTCGCTTATTTAAGGCCTATTTAAAGACCCTCGAGGACGATTTACTAGCTAAGACCGACTCTATCTAGATTTCCGAAATACGCCCTAAATTGCGATAGGATTTATAGGAATTAGTCCTTAAATTAGACCGCCGCCGTATGTTCGAATAGACTAATCTAACGCGCATTTAATTTATAGTCGAAGTAGAAATAGCTAAACGGGCTGTTTAGCTCTAGCGACTAGAATCGAGGATCCGACTAGCTAGTACTAATCGCGGCAACCGTAGTGCCCGCGGAGGAAACTAAGGTTCCTACTAAAACAATAGTACTAACAATAGGAACAGTAACAATAACCGTAGGAGAGGCCGTAGCCGGCGGCTATATAGAGGAGGCCGCGATAGGGGCCGTAGAAGGGGCTCGTATCTCTATAATACTAACCGCTCGGCTAATAACAGCAATAATAGCTACGGCAACCTACTAACCGGATTAAAGTACTTTAACTATAATAGTACTAGCTATCTCCTAGGCTAATACGACAAACCTAGGGATTAGGCCCGGATTGACCGTGCTTCCGCTAAGTATAAGAAACACCTTTTAGCCGCTAATGCTACCCCTATAGGCTAACCTTCGAAAAAAGAGTAAGCGCCGCACTAACTGTTAGCCTTGTGCGGCGTAAGACTATCGACATTATACTAGCTATTATACGTACCTATCTCGTAGGGGATATATATAGCAACAATTATAAAACTAAAGTTACTCTAGACCT